AATCGTTCCACAAGTTTTCGATTTCTGGTGGATAGTTACGTTGGCCAATTTGTTTGCTAGACTTAGGTTTTTTCTTCAGCTCAACTAAATTGATTAATTCATCAATTTTCTGATTTATGATATGCAGCTGATCTTTGTGAATTTTATAATAAGTGGAATATCCAAGGATAATTCCGATCAACAATCCAATAATAAATTTGCTTGTGAGAGCAAACATTTTAAAATGATAAAGTTTGTTGGATAAATTTTTGTAAAGCAGTTCGCGAAGCTTTTTTGTAAACTAGCTCAATTTCTGTCATTTTTTATAGCAAATCTTTTTGAGTCATGATATTCTGACTAAACGTCATTAATGCATAATCGATATGCGCGAATTTCTGCACATCAATTATTATTGGTCACATTCTGCATACAGAGAACAATAGTTACATTTTGAAAAGATCTAGAAAGTTCCCAATAATACATCATTGATTAAGCCACTGATCGGCGTTAGTACACAGTAAAGCTCGGTTTAATGAAGGCTCAGTTTAACAAAGATGCCCTTATAATGAAGCTTTTTATGGAACCAGTTCATTCATATATGTTTAGCTCCCAGTTGAACGAAAATTTATAATTAAAACCCCATATAATGATGTAACGAAGAAATTTCAAATCCACAGCCTTTCGTTTATGTCCTGAAGAACGATAAATAAATTTAAACCACAATGCAAGTTGGAATCTATCGATTCAATGTTGCAGCATTCCTCAAACACTTACCAGTAGACCCACTATCAATGGCAACTATGAGCATCACAAATGAAAAAGTAAAAACTGGCTTAGTAACCCATATTACTATGTCTGCTCTACCCTATGTACACACTACTCTATGTCCCCAACGCCCGAGTCACAAAGTTGTTACCTGCAGGTAGAAGTGCCCTCAAGTATTTGATTCTGGGCATCGTCATTTGCACTGGTTGCAAGAGCTTCAACTGCGTCTTCCTTCTGAGTAGAATTTTGTGTGAAATACGCCTTCAGACATGCTTTCTCGCCGTCTGTCAGGTCAAGACTCTCAATGTCTGAGAATAAACCCATAGCATTTGACTTGTTCGAAAAAAAGATGTACAATGTGATTCTAATATACACAGTAAAGCTCAGTTTAACGAAGGTCTCTGTTCTGCCAAAAATCTTCGTTAAAGCAGGCTCTTCGTTAAAGCGGGTGCCTATCTATACAACGAATTTTTATATAAAATCACATGAACTTCATTATAGCGAAATTTATTTATTTAATTCTCTTACCATCTAATAATTTTCAATGTTAATAAAATCCTCTAAACATGTCTGTTTTTTTGCTACAATACTTTTTTCAACAATCTGTTTATGCAGCCACTTTAGCTGAGTATATAATTGAATGTCAATATTTAGATTTTGCTGCTGACAAAATAAGACAAGGTTATCAATAGCTG